GCTGGATAAGGCGTCATACCCCAAAAGCAGGAGTATGGACCAGGAATCGGGGGAGAAGCAGGAGAAGGAGGAGGGAGAAGGGGAGGATCAAAGAGGAGGAATAGGCGGATGAGGAAGATGAGGACGAGTAGGAGGAGGAGGAGGGCGATCAGAGAGACCACAGGCATTTTGGATGCCTCTCCGAGTCTCTCGGGATGTCTTTCGAGAGCTTCTTGGAGGACTCTTGGGGCGTCTTGCGGGTCTCTAGGCAGTCCCGTGGGCCTTTTGGGGCGTCTTTGGGGCTTCTTTGGGCCTCTTTCGGCCTCTTGGGGGTCTTTTGGGAGCTTCTTAGGGGGCATCTTGGGTCCTCTTGGGGGCTTCTTGGGGCCTCCTGGGCACCTCTTGGGGCCGTCTTGGGGCACCCTGGAGAGCCTCGAAGCTATCGTGGGGCCACCTTGGAGGTGATCGATCAAAGAGGGGGGGAGGTGCTCATCAGGCCCCCCAAGAGGCATTTATTTTGCCAAAATCAGCATGCAATCAATGATTTTGGCCGTCTCGCCGAGGCCCAAAAAGACCTGCTGACACCTCGCGAAAGGCCCCCTCCAGACCCAGAGGGATGGGGGAGGGGGAGGGGGAGAGGCAAACCCCTCCTTGAAGGGGAAGAAGGGGGGTTGGAAGAGGAAACCCACTAAACCGCTCACGCCCTAAGAGGACTGGTGGGAGTACGAGGAGCCGACGTCCGAGTGAGAAGCTGAGTGGGACATAACCGACGGCCCTCACGGCGGCGGGGCGACGGCGTCGGCGAGTGGCGCAGTTCGGTCGCACTCAGGGCATCGTCCGACAACGGCCATGGGCAATGCAGTCCTGCCTCGCGGCCCTTGCAGTTGTTGTTCCCAAAAAGGCTTGACTATATGAGTGGTCGGCCTCCCCCTGCAACGCTCGCAATCGATACATAGCGAGGGGCATGTGCCCCCAGAAGACGCCAGTTCAATGCTTAGAAATACATGTGGCAGCAGGCCCGGGTCTTTGTTTTTATTGTCTTTGTTTGTTGGGTCCTTTGGGTCGATGCACGAGTCTTATCACGAGTCTTACATTCAATGATTCCGCCACCGTGCCAGCCCAGTTTTCTGAGTGGAGACTGTTCGAGGAGGCGCGGGAGGCCGTCACGTGTGACACCTCGTGCCTCCAGGCATGGTAGAGCCGTGATGAGGATGATAAGGATTAATGGGAGGGATTTCGATGTTGATAATGACGATGGTGATGATGATGGTGGTGATGGTGATGATGATGATGCTGATGATGATGATAATGATGATGATGTTACTATTGATGGTGATGATGGTGATGATGCTGATGCTGCTGATGATGCTGATGATGCTGATGATGATGGTGATGACGATACCGATTACATGGTGGTTAGTATGATGATGCTGATTAGGTTGATGATAGTGGTGTTGGTGATGGTGATTTGGATGATGGTGATGATGATGATGCTGATGGTGACGCTGATGATGATGGGGACGAGGCTGGTGCTGATGGTCATGACGTTGCTGCTGCTGATGTTGAGGATGAACAAGCTGATCACGATGATGCTACTACTGACGATGCTGATGATGGTGATGATCATGGGCATGGGGATGATTCTGATGATGATGAGGAGGAGGCGGATGAATATGAGGATTAGGATGATGCTAATGATGGTAATGACGATCATGATGACAATGAAGATGATGATAATGTTGATGATGGTGATGATGATGATGATGATGATGATGATGATGATGATGAGTGTGATGATGAAGATGCTATTGCGGGGGCACGATCATGGTGATGACGATGATGCCGGTAATGATGATGCTGATGATGATGCTGGTGACGATGGTATTGCGGATGATGGTGGTGACGATTCTGACAATGCTACTGTTGATGTTGATGATGCTGTTGCTGCTGCTGCTGCTGACGCCGACGACGGTGGTGGTGATAATGGTGATGATGATGACGCTAACATTGAGGGTGATGATGCTGATAGTGCCGATGATGATGGCGATGATGCTGATTCCGACGATGGTCATGATGATGATGATGATGGTGGTGGTGATGTTGTTGATGATGGTGCTGATGTTGCTGATGGTGTTGGTGATGCTGATACTGATGATGTTGATGCTGATGATGATGATCTCGATGGTGATGATGATGATGATGATGATGATGATGATGCTGATGCTGATGCTGATGCTGGTGGTAATGATGGTGTTGGTGATGATGATGTTGTTGGTGTTGGTGGCAATGATGCTGATGATAATGCTGACGATGCTGATGATGAGGACGACGCCGATGAATATGAGTATGATGATGGCGATACTGATGATGGTGATGATGATAGTGATGATGAACATGATGATGATGATGATGCTGATGATGCTGTTGATGATGGTGCTGATGCTGATGCTGATGCTGATGCTGATGCTGATGCTGATGATGATGATGATGATGATGATGATGATGATGATGATGATGATGATGATGATGCTTATGCTGAAACTGGTTTTGGCCGTCGTGGAGCTGCCTTGGCCTCCTGCGAGGCAGTCGTAGGGGTTCCGTGGGGCTCTCTTGGGCCGTCTTGGGCCTCTCTTACGTCGGCATGGGGCTCTTTTGGGCCGTCTTGGGGCCCTCTTGGCCGTGTTGTGGGTGTCTGGGGGCCGTCGTGGGGCAGTCTTGGCGCCGTCTTGGGTCGTCCAAGCGCCTTCCAAGGTCGTCTTGGGTTCCACGGGAGGTGCTCTCGGGCCGTCTTGGGGCCGTCTTGGAGTCCTCTTGGGCCGTCTTGAGCTGACGTCTGCCCGAAAAGGCAAGAATGCGAACATCCGTCAAACACCCAAGGTACATCAATGATTCTTGTTTTTTTTGACCCTGTGGGAGGTCCTTGTGTGGCCATTTTGGTCCTCTTGTGGGCACCTTGGGCCGTCTTGAATCAATATTCGGTCGCCTCGGGGCCATCTTGGGCCGTCTCCGATGCATCTTGGGCCATCTTGGTGTCCTCGGTTGCCTGCACGGGCCGTCATGGATGCTCAGGGCGCGTATCCCTTGCTTTTTACAGTGGACCGTGGCTTGAGAGTTCCTGGAGCGCTTGGGAGGAGCGCCTGGGAATGCGGGAAGTGCACGATCCTCGAGCGTGTGCGCGTGGAGTGAGGGGCCGAGGAGGTAGCAGCCAAGCGGGAGGTGCGCAGTCCTCGAGCGGGCGTGCATGTAATGACAGTTCGGGCAGCAGCTGCAACGCGGGAAGTGCACAATGCTCGAGCGGGCACGCGTGGAAGGGGGGGTCAGGCGTTCGCTGCCATGCGGGGATTGCACAACCCTCGAGCGATCGCGCATGGAATGATTGCTCAGGCATTAGCTGCCATGCGGGAAGGGCACCATCCTCGAGCGGGCACGCGTGGAATGGGGGATTATGCAGCAGCTGGCATGCCGGAAGTGCACCATCGTCCAGCGGGCACAAGGGAAGTGACCTCGGTGAGTGGGGCGGAGCAACGCAACATTACAAAAATCTTACCAGGCAGATTTTGGCATCATTCCACGTATCAACGTGCCAGGGGGTACGGTGGCGGATTCGAAGTGGCAGTTACATGCACATGCTGTTGTTCCCCGAACGAAGTAACGATTAGGAGGGTGTACGGGGCAGGAGGGGGAAGACAGCGGGATGAGGGGGAAGGGAGGGGAAGGGAGGGGAGAGGGAGGGGAGAGGGGGAAGGAGGAGGGGGAGGAGAATAAGGAGGACGGGGGTGATTACATCGACTCTTGGCCCTTGTCTCCTTTCGACTCCAGATGCTTCCATGGAACTTCGGGGCCCCCCGATAAGCTTCCACGAGCCCCGCATGAGCCACGCTTCCCGCGTGTCCTGCACGAGTCTTTCTAGCACGCTCTGCCCCCCCCCCAGCCAGCCAAAGGTGGCGGCCAGTCTTCCTCCGGCCTTCGAGAGGTCCCTCGTCGCTACGGCTGGAGGCGGAACGATGTATTTGCGACGGCGAGGTCTCAAGACTAAGGACTGGTCAACCACGAGTGCAATAGACGACAGGGGGTCTTCAGTTCGGATGCGCGCAGCACTCAGGCTGTACTTCTGGCTTGCGCATCCGCCACTCGACCGAGGCGAGCTCGGCCGTGCTGTACAGCTGCAGCGGGCAACCGCATGACAGACGCAGGGCTGTAACACCGCCTGTCTCTGTCCGGGTGCCTTTCTGGATCCTGGGGGCACCTCGCCAGGTCTGCCAACGTCATTCCCACAGCAGCGGCAGTTCTGGCGGGCCTTCCGGCTGTGGGGCCCCCCCGCCGCGGAGGCGGCGCCGTTATCATACTTGCTTGTACAAATTGGTCCGGCTTCCCACTCTTAATTGCGCATCCGATGCTCCCATTGAATTATCCAGGTCGTCATTGCCCTCTGTTACTCTGTTTATGAACTCCTCGCAATTCTTCCCCTCCTGTCCTTTCTCCTTTCATGCCTAAGGTCACTGGGTTCGCTGTTTGCCAGAATCGGTCACCCACATGGGGTCATCATTGTAACCGCTGGGTTTGGAAATCGACGACGGTTACCTACAAAGGCGATGTGGAAATCCAGAGATCACGTGAGGTAAGAGTGGGTGTCCAGAGTGAGCTTCATGTTTCCAGGTGGTTGATGCTCGGATCATGTGTTGCTGGCTGGCATTGTCCACGAGTGCAGCGCGAGGAGGACAAGAGGAGCAGGAGGGCAATTACACATTGTTCATTTCTAATTGTTCGTCTTTGATTTTTTGGGGCCAAGATCCTTTCATTTCTGATTGTTCTATCCTGGGCCTCTTCGTGGCCACTAGGGGGACAGGAACAATCAGAAACGAGCACAATTAGACATGAGCACGATTAGAGATGAACGACGTGTGTCCGCGTCGGGAGGCTGAGCTGGTATGGCTCGGGCCTTTTCCCCTGCTCGCTCTCACGGGATCTGCGCAACGCGTGATTGCATGAACATGTTGGTAGTTGTAGTGCGCACCAAGGTCATGGAGGGCCGAGAAGACCCTGACTCTGATATACGCAAGGCTGGAGTGGCCAGTGCGCCAGACGTTTGCACAGAAGCCAGCAGTGCCAGCATGAGGGGAGGGATGTGACAGAGTGCGCAAATCGAATAAGCATTCGGAGAGTCACCGCCGCCACTTACCTTTCTGGAAACGTTGGGTTCGGCCAACTGTTGGGCCAAAGCTGGGACAAGCTATGGATTGGACTTGGTGGTCTCAATGGTCTCCCATGCATTGTTGGAGCCTTTGGGGGCAAGGCTTGGGGGAGGAAGACGGGAATGAGCAGGAGAGGGGCTACCTTGGGGAGTCTTGGGGCGTTGGGCTGTCGGCAGCCCGAGGGCGAAATCGCGAACACACTTCGACAGCTCGTGAATGACATCTTCGGGCCCCTGGAGGGTCTCCTGGATCCATCTTGGGCTGTATCGGTGGCCTCTTGGCCCGTCTTGCAGCTAGCTGGGGCCGTCTAGGAGCCCTGTTGGGCCCTCTTAGAACCATCTTCGAGACCCTCTTGGAGCCATCTCGGGCGGAAAAGCCTGCGAGATGCTGCTTTCGGAGTGGTTTGCGCTGGACTCCAGGTGGCCGGCGGTATCGACCGAGAACCCATTGGGAACCACTTGAAAGGGCAAAGAAGTATCACACTTCGACGGGTCAAGCACCCCATTGCAAGCAAAGGGGGCGGTGGATTAGTGGATTCGGCCTTCCCGGCCACCTTGCCTGGGTCGTGGACAAGGCGCCTTTTGGATACCTTCTGCGGCCGGTGTCCAACGGTAGTTGTCATGCCAGGCCAAGTGGTGTTCGCCAATGTGAGGTCGGTTGCCACATGTTGTTCTTTTGTGCGTGCATATGGTTGACAAATGGGGCGATACCATTTCGAGTTTTAGAGATTGGCGATGATCATCGATCCCCGTGGATGGTTCGATGTGCCCAGCGCCGCATCGACTGGTGTTTCGATTGCGAAGCCATTGGCAGCAACAGTGGCTTCGTGGTGATCTGAATGGCCCACTTCGCCTTGATCATGTTGACCCCGTATGGGTGACCTCCTTGAAGCGCGCACCCGAATCGGCGACGCAATGTGCAACGAATGCCGACATCTCAAGCAACATGTGCGACAAACTCTGCAGCAACATGCACAACAACATGCTCAGCAGAATGCGCAGCACAATGTGCAGCCAAATGCGCAGCAACACTTACAACATGACCCGCGCCGACGCGACCACTTACGCAGCAAATGGTGCAGCAGATGGCGCAGCAAATAGCACAGCAAATCGTACAGAAACAAGCTGTTCTGATTGTTTTGGAACACTTGGCTGGCACAGCCTCCATCAAACAGGTCTCGGGGACGGCCGCCCGCGCGCGCGTGCGGGTGAGGCGTGCCAGGGGCGCCATTTGCTGCGCTGGGTCGGCCCCCGTTCAGGCCCCCTTTCCGTGTCGGTTCGGGTCCGCCCGGCTCGCCCGCTCTATGTTCTCTGCCCCGGCACCGCGGCAAACTCACAGGGCGTGCCTGATCCTCTCAGGTCGGGTGTTGCTGGACGTGCCCCTGGCCCAAGGTGCCCACAGCTTTTCGCTCCATCTTGGAGCCCCTGGGGCCCTCTGGGCCTCGTGAGGGGTGCCCTGGAGGCCGCCTGGGCCACCCCGAGAATACTGGGGGCACCTTGGGTCAGAGCGTGAATTACCTACCCCACTTTCGCTTCCAGGCAAAACCAAGCCATACCACGCGCCCCCTCGTCAAGAGGCCTGACCAGTACAGGCTGCAATTTGGCATCGTTTGGTATCTCTTGGAAGCGAGGGTGGTCAAAAGCGAGGTAGGTTTGTGTTCCCCCAACTGGGCCAGGGGCACTTCTAGCAGCACCCGATCAGGGCTTTGGGAGCCCATGGAGTCATGGAGCTGGGCCCCCGCGCGGCACGCGGCACCTCGCACGGCGCTGCGACGACGAGGGGCCGCCGGAGGCTGCCTCGGCACCGGGACCCCGCCGGCGCGCGGCGAGGGCTGCGCGCGGGGCCCCTTCGCGCTCTCGCGCGTGCGCGCGTCTCGCGCGCGCGCGCCGGCGCGCCTCCCCGGTGTTCGTGGCGGCGCCTTCGCTGCGGCGCCTTCGCGTCGCGTCTCCGCGTCTGCCTTGCTCTTCGCCATCTTTAGGGGAGCGAAAACTGACATAAACATAATAGCTCGGAGGTCCGCGCGGAGTTCTCGGATCCGCGCTGGACCCCCCTGGCGGCGCCTCCGGCGCCGCCCCTGGCGCGTTCCGCGCGCCAGGGAGGGGGGTCCAGCGCGGATCCGAAAAATTCCGCGCGGACCTCCGAATTGTTATGTTTCTGTCACTTTTTGTTCCCCTAATCTAGTCGCTGCACGTCGACCAGTGGCTCTTCCTCGTCCTCCGCGTTTCCCGAGCCGCTTCGTAGCCCGCTCCTGGTTGCTCGTTAGCGGCGTTTCTGGACGGCGCCGGGCACCCCTGCGCGCTCGCGAACAGAAAGGATCCGCATGTGCAGAACATGTACGTTGGCGTCCCACTTGCAGCTCAAAGTTGCATCATCGCGCGGGCGGGCATGATAGCCGGGAACAGCCAGCCGCTGCGGCTTCACCTTCACGCCACTCACTCGCGTGCGAAAGGGCGCGGGGTACGATCAGGGTGCTTGACAGGGGTCGCGATTCTTACCATACCGCGTGTGATGACAAGGGCGGGGGCGACGGATACGAAATCAGGAACGCTGTAGCCGAGTATGATCACATCCCTCCTGCCTCTGACCTCACCTGTCGGACTCCCTGTCTCCCTGCCTCCGTTTATCTTCTCTCGGTATGTCTGCTCGGGGCTGGTTGCATGCTGCGGATATCGGGGAGGGGAGATCTGCTCACATCTCGAGCGGTCAAATCGACCATCGGCGCTCGTCATGATGATGTTGAAGGACGCTCGGCGCGTGCGGGAGGGGCAGGCCGAGGGAGGCTTGCCCTGAGATCTGTCTTATCTTGCTCGCGATGCCCGAGCCAGTGTGATGCCTACGCGTCACCTCTGGGAGATCCATCCAGAGTGCACGGACAGGGGCTGGTGTCGGCAGTGTTGCAGAGCGCGGCAACAGCATGCACGCAAGTGTGCAAGTTTGCGCGTGTTGGGACTGTGTAGTGCTGTTTGCTGTGCGTCTCATTGGAGAGGCGTGCTCGGAGGAGTGAGGACGCATTTCCCTATGCAGATTTGCCCCTGGCCATTTGAATACATCAGCGTTCGCAGCAACATTCACGCAAGCATAAAGGGGTGTGGTGGCAATCGTGGAAATGGCGATGCGACCTACGATCAATAACCTCGCCAGATCCAGCTTTGGCACCACACCCCTTTACACCGCACCCCTTTCCTACCCCCCGAATAATGCGACGTAGTGTCCACATTGCGAGATACAAAGAGATGTATTCGCGACCAAGCGGTCGCATTATCGTCGTTGACGGGGAAATGCGAAGGCAAGGCAACGTCATCGGTTCCAGATCTTGTGGATAGACGGGGGAGCTGACAACATGCAGAACTTCGTCATACTTTCTCGTTGCAATGATGATGATTGTAAAGACGATGATGGGGAGCAACGTGCACATCATGTATTCATGTAGACAAATGTGATGGAGACACCTCCTCGCACCATGGGGAGGACCTGCATTTCTGATCATCAACCCGGTGCGACCCCAATCAGGGGCTTTCTTTCTTCCAACGCAGTTCAAAGCAGTCTTGAGCAAGGCAGGCAATGCAACGCATTGCTTGGCATTGGTTCTCATAGATGTGCATTGTTTGGCGTTGCTGGGCATTGTTTGAAGTCGTTGCAAGGTAATGCTTGGCGCTGCCTGGATTTGCTTCGAGATTCTTGGCATTGCTTGGCGTATTTTGGCATTGCTTGGCATTCCTTGGAAACCTTGCCTGGTAATGCTTGGCACTTCTTGGGTTTACTCCAAATTTTGACATTGCTGTGCGTTGCTTGGCATTGTTTGGCATTGCTTGCGCGTTGTTGCGAGATCGGAATTCTTTAATCCCTGCTGTGGGCTTCAAATCGATAAGAGGCCACTCCCGTACACTTGAGCACCTGAGCGCGCGCAGCAGTCTCGAGCCTAGAGCCTACGGAAAGTCCATAGACTCCAAATGCCGCCACACATGCGTACCTATCTGTTCCCTTGGTCGGGGGCTGCGCTTGAAAATCTGAGTTTGCACCCTACCAGAAATTGACTGCTGAGAGGGATCAGCAGAACAAGGACGCTAGATAGCAGCCTCAGCCTCACACGTCCAGAATTCATAGTATTGGTTTGACTTCGAGTGCGTCCTACACACGCTCCTGTCAGCTGCCGGAGTATCACGCCTTGCACTATGACGACCGGGCCGCCCCCCAGCCCGCCCATTACGAGCTGCTTGCACGAGAACCCTCACCAATGCAGCTTCCGAGTGTACGCCAGTCGTTGAAAGTAGGTCTTTTTGGATTTCCCAGATCTCAATCTACTTCAAGCGCCTGCCTACATTAAGAATCGACATGCTTTTGCTGTGTTTTGTTATTCTCTGGGAGGACCTGGACCCAATCCACTATATCCGCCTTCCTACTTCATGTTTCTACCTACTTCTTCCGACCGACGTGTATTGTCGAGCATCGGATTAAGAATCCTCCTTCCGAAAATTTGGGCCAGCGTTTCTTAACGAACCCGCCGGAAAGCTGGCCCAGTTTCTTTGAGCACGTGCGCCTCTCCAGAGCAGACAACAGCCATTGGGGCCCAGGTGTGGCTCAAGAACCTTGCAGATTCTTGGTCCAGGATTCCCACATTATAGAAGTAATCATTGATCGCATTGTCGGCTGTATTTGATTTGGCATTGTCTGGCATTCCTCAGCGTTGTCTGCCATTGTTTGGCATTGCTCTGAATTTCTTGGCGTTGCCTGGAATTGCTACGAATTCTTTGACAATTCTTGGCATCGGCTTCCACTGCTTGGCTTGCAAGTTGAGGTTGCTTGGCGCTGCTGGGACTCGTTGCGCGGTATTGCTTGATTTTGCCTTACATTGGTTGGCATTGTTTCGCTCAGCACTGCTTGGCATTGCTTCGCGTTGTCTGGCATTGCTTAGCGTTGCCTGGCATTGCTTGGCAGTGCTTGGCATCACGTGGCAGCACTTGGCATTCGTTGGCATCGCGCGGACAGCCCCAGGGGATCCTCGAGGATCGCCTCGGACGAGAGGCCCCCCGACACCACCAGTGGTTTCTGGCTGCTTGGCACTGCTTGCCAGTGCTCGGCACGCCTTTGCACCGGGCAGCCCGGGGCACGCCCGGGCAGCCCTCGTGGAACGCCGAGGGCCGCCTCGGACGAAGGGCACCGCAGCCACAGGTCCAAGGGCGCCCTCGAGGGCGCGAAGTTATTCGCGCTTCGCGGTTCGGCTCCGACTCCTCCTCACCCTCCTCTTCTCCCCTGGGAGGCGGCGCGAGAGCGCGAAGTTATTCGCACTTCGCGCTTCGCGCAGCGCGAATCGCGAAGTTGGGAGCCCTTGCAGGTTTTTCACAAGCGAACAAGGACCTTTTGCTAGCTGAGGCCTCGTCGGGACAAGTCTGACCGTTAGTGCCGGCATAGTCGGTTGGACGTGCCTTGACCTGCGTGTGGCGTCGTGCCCAGTGTTTGGATCTGTATTCATGTGCGCACTTGCCAGCTCATTTCACGCCTCTATTTATGGTGTTTTCTTCGCCACCCGTCCTGCTTCAGGACATTAAGAATGGTAACGCCATTGAAGAGTCCAACAAGGCAGCGGCCGAGAGAACAATTGAGTCAGGGCGGCCTGCTATGTTGGATCGCGATGGCGTCATCGCTTCTCGTCCGAAATACGTGCAATCTGCAACGCTGTTTGATCTAATGAACGGCGCACATGTTCAGGAGACATGGATTCAAACCACAGTAGCGCTGTTCACGCGCTGCCAGTTCCAGGTAATTTCTGTTATTCTGCGAGTCGCACTGCTCCTTGTCCCTCCTCTTGGCCTAGTCTCCAGCCTAATCACGGTCGGTTAAGATAGGCGCCTTGCATTTTGACATCGATGTGGTTGTCAGTTGTAATATGGTACGCGTTGGTTCTTGTCTTGATACAGGGAACAGGGAATGTGGTACAGCGAATGCATTTTGGAATTGACTCCAACCTTCTCGAGTAACTGGCTCCCTTGTCAATGACTGCGGCTCCAACCTCTGTGCCGCACGACCACATAACACCGACCTCGGTTCATGAGTGACCATCTTGGCGTCCCAGCGCCCACCCGCTGCACCCGCGTAGGTGGTTCATGTTGTCTTGTCTTGTCTTCTCTTCTCTTCTCGAGTAATGTGGCACGTGCTGGGTATTGAATCGACATCATTACTAACATTTGTTTGACTTCAGTGGCGAGATCCCGACAGGCCCCAGCAATTGGCAGTTACTTGCACAAGAAGGAGATGAGGTGCCAATTTTTGTTCTGACTTCACATGTTCGAGAGAACTCGCGTGCATCTTGATCTATCTCTGAGAATCCAGATATGGGATGGGAGCAATGAAGATTCAACAGTGAGACTTCTGGCTGCCAGTCGACGGAGACCGTACCCTGAAATTGGGAGGGATGAACGTTCTAGGATGGGTTTCGTTGCCGATTTGCCTCCGTTCGCAGAGACCAGCTGCGATCCAGAATGCGCAGCCGGATCGCCACTTAGATCAGAGCTAGGTGTGCCGCGTAATGGGGGGGTCATAAATGGGGGGGGTGGCGAGCGTGGTCCGAAAAGGTACCCAAACGGTACCTAAACGAGCCCCCTGGGGCTCTGGAGGGGCCCGAAAAGGGCACGAAAGGGGATTTTCTGACCCCCCCATTTGTGACCCCCCCATTAAGCCACGCCCAATAGGGGTGCAGGGGGTGACAGCGGGAAAAGGTCCAGAGCATCAGAGATTGGGTGCGCTGATCGGGCCCAGAAGAGTGATCGCCGACCCGCCACGTCTCGTTTCGGGCTCCAGAAGCTTGAAGACCTTACGGCGAGGTGATCATAGACCAGTAAGGATTTTCGATCGATGTTTAGTTTCCGCGGCGTTTGTAACCATGAGCGTGCCTGGGTGAAGTGCGTCCCGACCCTGTCTCAGTCCTCTCGCTGTGGTGGCGTGCGTGAGATTTGGCCGCTCCAAAACTGGCAATCTGCTGGCGATGCTCGTTCTGGGCGTTGTCCGAAGGTGTTGTTGGGAAGATGCGCAGACCGACTGGACTGCCTGAGTTAGCAGCGCCTTTTGTTTTGGGTGGGCGGCAGTTTAGGGCACAGGCGCCGCGGACGGCGCAGCAAGCGGCCCGATCCGCTCAACTCATGGCAGATCGTTGGCGCGACCCTTGGCGCAGCCCGTCACGAGATCCACGCCCTTCGCGCAGATAGTGGCTCAACCTACAGTCGGGGCTCTCAAGAAGGAACCCTGTTGGTTGGGGAGGGGCTCCGCGTTCCTTAAGCGTTTCACAGCTTGCCTCAGGTGTTCCCCATGTTTCCGACAGGAAATCGAAACTTATCTTCTGGAAAACAGGGGCCTCGTTCCTGATTGAAGGTTCCACAGGTCAACGCCCCGACTGGAATGGCTCAACCTACTTGTAGGGCATCCCGTGGCACAACACACGGCGCAGCCGACTGCGCAGCCTGCGGCGCAGCCCATGACAGACCGTGTGCAGCTTGGTCGGCTGAGCCGGCCGCCGGCCAGTGCCCGCCTCGCCAGGCGGGCGGCAGCGAACGAGGAAGGAAAGGAGGAATCGCTGCGTCTGCTTCGACGAGGAATGCCAATAATAAGATAAGAAGAAACTAGTAACAATGCTAATAGTTGTATTACTATTTTTATAATTAATAATACTACTAATAACAAGAATTCGAATAATACGAATGATACTTATAAGAAGAATACGAAGGAACATAACAATAAGAATTCGTTCCTTGTTCTGCTCCTCCTCTTCCCCTTCTCTTCGCAGCACTCCCGGGCCTCGTCGGCCTGGTCGTCGTCGTCGCCCTCCTAGACCGGCGGCGACGACGAGCAGGCCGGCGAGGCCGAAGCCGAGCGCGAGCAGCTGCACGGGGGCCTCGGGGCGCTTGGCCTGCACAGCCTCCGCGCGGGGCTGCGCCCGCGATTTGCGCGCACGGCACAGGGCCGCGGCCGGCGGCGGGCCTCGGCCGGCGGGCCGCCCTCGGCTGTTCCTGCGGGGGCGCGGGGCGGCGTGTCCGTCCTCACGCGGGAGCTGCGGCGCGCTGGTCTCGGGCCGGACGACAGGGGGGGGGGACTGGGAAAGGGGGGGCTACGGGATCTGCTGCGTGCAGCTGGTTTCGGCCCCGCCGCCGGGCCCCTTCTTCGACACATGGGGTGTCTCCTGGCGCCGGGAGGCGCCGGGAGAATCAGCTGCGTGAGCTGATTCTCATCCCCCCCCCGTTGCTATCCCCCCCGTTCGCCCGACCCGATAGACGGCCTGGCGAGAAGAAGTCAATTCAAGGGACAAGTTGTTCGACGCAACATGTGCTATAGCAACCTTGTGCTGCTGCGCTCCTCTCGCAAATGTACTGTGGTTGACCTTTCGAGCGGCTCCCACTGCGTCGACCCTGCGGTCGGATTTTGGCACGCTCACTGGGTCCCGCGCAGGTTTTTGGTGTTTGCGGGGTTTTTGAAGTTGTTTTTGACTTGGATGTGCCAATGGCGAAACCAGTTTGACTGTCGCAGCAGAGGACATACCTGGGCCCGAAGCATCTACAGCCAATGCGCTGAAATAAGGGCCATTTTTGGCCCAGCAGAGGCTGTGGCTCCTGGGCCATTCTTTTCATCTTCCGACGCATCTATCTTTATAGGGCGGGGGACCCCGGAAAAAGCGCCCCCCCAACGAATTTGGCCCACCCCGGGCCTATCGGCCAACCCTCCAGACGACCTAGGAGAACCCCACGAGAGCCCGAAGACGGTCCCATGCAGAGTGCTCCAGGCGTTCCGGTGCGCTCCCGAAACGACCCCAGAGAGCCCCAAGACGGCCCACGACGACCTCAAAGAAGCTGTCATACCCCCAAAGATCGCCCCGAAACGTCCCAAGAGGCCTCCAAGAACACTCCCAAAAAGGCCCCAAGAGGCAAAACTCATTGATTTGATGTTGGTTTTTGGCTAATTTGGGGTTTCTCCTCTTTCGGCTTCCCGACGCTCCAAGACGGTGGTCTTCTGGGCGTCCGAAGCCGCCTGGGAGGCGCGAAAATCGACCCACAACCATCCGAAAGGGCTTGCAGGCAGTCCAAGAGAGCCCCAAGGCGGCACAACAGGATTCCAAGATGGCTTAAGAGGGCCCCATGACAGCCCAAGATGGCCCCAAACCGCCCTCCGAAGCACTCCAAATCGTGACCCGGTCGTTCAGGGAGACCGCGGTTGGAGGCAGGGTGGCCCGAGGAAGCCCACAGGGGCCCCAGATGAGACCCAGGAGGCAGGCCTCCAGAAGGCTTCAAGAAAACTTGAACAACTTTTGTGAGGCCCCCGCAGGCTCTACAAAGAGGAGCCTTCGCAAAAAGAGCTGAGGAGGATGGAGAGAATACGCAGGGTATGGTGAGAATGAGGAAAAAGAAACAGGGAGGAAGGTAACAAGTAACATTATCATAACAGCGATGCCGGAGAACAAGACGTTATCGCTACATTGTCGGTTTTACTTTCCTGCCATTCCGCTTGCATATCAAACTTCAAGGACCAAAGTGCATGGCGCGAAGCGCCAATGCTGTCTTGTGTATTTAAATATGTACGCGTATACGTTTATAATACGTATACGCACTTATGTCCATTTCTACTGATACATCTCGACGGGCACCCCGACGGCTCACCATCAGCGGTGGTTGGCGGAGACAGGCATGAACCCTGTGTCGCCAGGCGTGGACATCCACCAGATAGGATGCATGGTCTTGGAGTCGGCGGTGACGCATGACCAGGAGCACGCCGCTAACCTGGCCCACCTGGAGCTCGTCGCGCGCTTGGCGCAGATGCAGGAGGAGCGCTACCGCCAGCTGGTCGCCCCCAGTGAGGCCAGCGCGGCGGATCGTGCCGTCGCGACGGGCTCGCAGGAGCTCGACGGGTTGGCGCGCGCGTGCCCCGCCCTCCGCGACCACCTCGCCCTGGAGCTGCAGCGGGAGATGGCGGTGGCGAAGGAGAGGTGGAAGGCGCGCGAGGAGCGCGCCCTCGCCGGGGGCGTGCCTGGACAGTCGGGCGTTGGGCGCGGGAAGGGGGAGCGCGGCCGCGGCGGCCGGGGCGCTGGGCCCAACTCCGCCGGGGGCGATGCCTGACCCGCCTTGGGGCGGATGGCCTGGCCAGCCGCCGCCCCTTTCGCCCTCGGCCCCCGCGGAGCCCGCCAGCGCGGGCTTCTCCCCTGGCGCCGCTGGGCGCCAACTGCAGGGCATCGAGGCCTCTTCCCGCTACCGCTGCTGGCTGCCGCTGACGTGGCGCCCCGCGCGCCAGGTGCCCGGCGGCGCGTCGGGGCTGGCCATGCCTTCGCGCAATCGCTTGGCCGTGCCAGCGCCGCCGCGCGCGCTTTGAATGACCTCTACGGCGACCAGTCCTCGCCCGCGCCGACGCCGTCTGCCGGGCAGCGCTGCGCCGCCGCTCACATGTGGAACTCGATCCTTGCTCTCGGCCCCGAGCCGCCTGGGCATCGCGACGACGCCTCCGGCGCCAACGGGGCTCTCCGGGAGATCCTCGCTGCGTCCGCGATGCGCCCTGGTGGCGGCGGGCCCACCACTCCTTGCGCGCCAAACCGCGTCTCCTGGCCGGATGCGTCACAGCCGCCCGCGCCGCCCTATGGGATGTTGGGCGAGCGGGGCCCCGCCGCGCTGCGGGAGTGGAGGTGCCAAACGCTTCGCGAGCCCGAGGGGGCGCGGCAGTTGCGGGCGGAGGCGCGCCCGCAGCGCCCGCGAGGTCGTCCGAGGGTCATCTGCGACGCGCGGCTGGCCATCTGCGCGTTCATCGACGCGCCTCGCACCCAGCTACCGCCGGCTTCCGCCTGGGGGCGGCTGGAGACGGGCGACGCGCGGATCTCCATCGCCTCGGCGGACCTGGACGTGGCCTTCTACCGCGTGCGGGCCCCAGACGGGATGGGGGAGCTCTTCATCCTCGACGGCCACTGCGGCCGCCAGCTCGCGAGCGACCAAGACTCGGTCGCGGTCGCCGGCCACGTGGACAACCACTTCGTTCTCGGCGGCCCCCCAGATGGCGCGTTGCGGGCGAGCGGCTGCAGGCCATCACCGACGACTTGACGCGCCGCGGGCTCGCCGGTCGCGAGATCGAGGCGCCCTCCCAGGACCGCGACTTCTTGGGGCTATCGCTGCGCGAGGGGCGCTAGCTCAGCCTCGCGACCCGCGTCATCTGGCCTCTGCGCGCGGCCATCCGCGCTGCGCTCCAGAGGCAGGTCATCTGCGGCTTCCTGCTGCGCGTGCTGACCGGCCAAATCACT